GTTTCATGTTAATTTAAGTTGGCTGCATTGTGATGTGCAGGAGTGTCGTTAACTGAGAAATTAGTTCGCTGTGAGAACAATGTTCTTTGTACTGGGTCGCGTGGTATATTCTAGGAATTTGGCTAGCGATGTTACGGCACTGCTTGACATATCGCTTGGAGAAAATCTAGGCCTAAACAAATTTGAAAGGAAGCGCTAAAAGTGGAAATTTCAAATTCCATTTGTGAATGCTATCGACCTGTCAATGACGCCTGTTTCACTTCTTAATCAACCTGAAGAAGTAATTGTATTTCTGTAGCGTTAAACTGCAGACATTTAACATGAGAGGAGTGTGAAAATAATCATGAAGGCAGAGATCAAAGTAAGAACTCATCATTTGGCACTTGCTTTATCAAAATTGGGACCGGGAATTGGGTGACCGAGTTCCGATCTTCTTTTGACATGAAATTTAACATGAAACAAGACGCTCTATTTCTGGGGCTATACAACTGAATACGCACATTTCTGTACATGATACATACAGTACACAGCTATTTCAATTAAGATTTAAGTTTTTCCCCAAGCTAAGCGTAAAAGTCGAATACGAGCGCGAAAGGCTTAACACAGTACTAAAATGCGGTAGGCCCTAGAAGTAAAGTTATATTTAGTACGCTACATTCTTCAAGACACTGTTGACAAATCATGCATTCGCCGTTTGTCCAACTTTGTATTTGTGAAAAATACCATTGTTCGATTCAGCATAAGAAATTGTACTTACGGATGTCAATGTATTACTAAACACCAGTATTCTACCGATTTATGGCCTTTGTAAGCCAAGCGAAATTGTATTGTTGTCTGTTGACAAATCGCTCAAAATTATTAAACTATTAATTATAAAAAAATGCAGTATGTTTGATCCTTGATAACTTTGGTTTTCTCTTTTTCGGCCGTATACCAGTGGGCAGTGGATTCGTCTCACTTCTCTCTTTATTTTGATAGTATTTTGAGCCCAAAATATTTTATTTTGAACGTTTTAAAGCGCAGTTTAATCCTAGCGTACGGACCAACTGGCGGCTGACAGCGTACTGCGAGCGATTTGTCAACAATACAATTTCGCTTGATTTCGAAAGGCCATAAATCACTAGAATACTGGTGCTCAGTAATACATTTGAAATCCGTAAGTACAATTTCTTACGCTGAATCGAACGGTGGTATTTTTGTCCTTATTGTGCCATTAGGCATTACAAATACAAGGACAAACGTAGTGCGAGTGAATTGTCAACAAATTATATATACTGCGAGCGATTAATTGCCAACAATACAAATTCGCTTGATTTTCAACGGCCATAAATCGCTAGAATACTGGTGTTTAGTAATATACTTGACAATTCCGTAAGTACAATTTCTTACGCTGAATTGCACAGTGTTGCTTTCTTCTCAAAATATAAAGCAGCACAGCCAAAACGTAACTTGTGATTTGTGAAGGTTACTGTTTCCATGTTGAAATTCCTTGTAAAATTGTTCAATTTTCCCGAATTTTCCTCAAAATGTATAAATTGTTGCAAACTTTCGCATTTTGTTCAGATCGTACAAGGCAAAATCGTTGTGTCTTTTCCAAAATTACCGTGCCGAAAAACGGGGACTGGGCTGAAATGGAAATGATCGTCGTATGATGAAAAATAAAAATATTCGACTGACTTATGACATTTTCCAGTTCATTTGAGCATATGTTTGGATTTTCCATGCACAATACTCTTATTCTTGCACTTGGGGATGTTTGTGTCACCTTTGAAAATACTCGCCCACAGCTTGTGTTGCTCTGAAAATTTGCAACGGCAGAAATTCACAACCATGTTGTCAACAAAGCCTCTGATTGACTTATAGTAGCAAAGAAGAACCAATCCAATTGCTAAGAGTGGTTCTTCATTGCTAACCAATCAGAGGCCTGGCTATAAATTTCTGTTACAAATTCTCAGAGTGACTTCAGATTGGCAGTATTGCAATGTTGAGGGGAGCACAACATCCAGTTTGACTATAACAGTTTCTCAGCAATGTGTTATTTCCCACTGCAAGTTTTGATTGGTGTCCAATACCGACAATTTGAATCATTTTTTTTTTCATTTTTGACAGAGTAATCATGCATTACAAGCATTTCCAATGTTATAACAGTCCATCAGATTTTACTCAGATAAAAATGAAAACATATCAGAAAGCCTTGGAAGAAATTGAAAAAAGGTGTGTATTGTGTTTTATTTCGAAGATAGAGCCGTGTGAATGTTAAAAGCATCTTACAGTAAGTTCAAGAAGGTGCCAAAAAGACACTATATTGCACCCCGGGTAACTAATGAGCAAACATGGTGGCTGGCCATGCCCCCCCCCCTGTTTCCTGAGCTGACATTGTCCGATTATTTCTCTGGGTTACTTGAAACAGAGAAAAAATTGAAAGATGGAAAGTTGCCATGTGACCTTAACCAATGCGGGAGACCCAAATAAGTACTCTTTGAACGGGCACACCTCACAAAATGTAAAAGCTGAATCTCAACAAACTTTGTTGCGTTCAGCTAAGTCCAACTTCGATTATGGCACATGATTCTACAATGTCACATTTACAGCAGTGCTGCAATTATCATTGCAGACCTAATTTTGTAGCGGTGGTGGTGGTGAAGGTCTGATATGAGCTTTGCTACAATTTTACTTGACTATTTCATTCAGTGTGATGTTAAAGTGTGGATTTATGTATTCTACGCAACTCAGCCTTCATAGACTGCTATGTTAAATTTTATTAAACCATCTTTCTATCTATCTATCGTTTGATTTTTTTCAGGAATCAAAGCAAGAAACAGAAACAAATGGGCGAAGTGGCCTGGAAACTTCAAGCTTGTTCAAAAATATGGCAAAGGTTCTGTTTATGAAAAACCTTGTCCAGACTGTGGTTATGTTGTAGAGCTGCAGTCAATCGGTGTCCACATCACGGAGAATGGCTGTACAAAGATTTACTGTGAGAATGAGCAGTTTAACTGCCCTAAATGTTTTACAGTGACAAAAGTAATTACTTGATGTACGCTGATGTAAAGTACACATAAGTATTTATTAACAGTTTTCCAGTTTGAGCAAAAATTTTACCCAGACACGAAAAATGATATTTTTATAGACAACGCGTTTTGATAATGGTAATAATTCTTAAAGACAACCCATTGTTGCTCGTTTCAATGCTAGGATCATGCGAAGGTGTTCGACTCATTTTCTTAAATTTCTTTATATACAAGTGTGCAGTGACATCATCAACAGGAAGGCGATTGAGCGGAAGCATGAGAGTGCTGAGAAGGATTAGTGGTTTCAGCAGGAGGAGTGAGTTCAAAAAGTGATAGTTTTTTTCTGGCTTTGAGGCCATTGTTAAGTTCTGGTTTAAAAGATTTAATGAAAGGTGCTTCCATTAATAATAGTCGATTTTTGTTTACCTTTGTATCCCTTACCAAACTGACATATATGTAAAATGTCTGCAGGTATCTGTCACATATCTGTTGCAGTACTACAGCATAACTGCAACAAGGTCTACAATATCTGCAAAATACCTGCATAAAAGTTGCAGATATTTTGCAGATATGTTGATTATCTGTTAACATATCTGCAAAATATCTGCATAAAAGTTGCAGATATGTCAATTGTCTGTCAAAATATCTGCAAAATATCTGCATAAAAATTGCAGATATATGTAGATATGCCAATTGTCTATCAATATACAGTATCTGTATCTACACAGCAAAAAATAATTTCTTATTGAGAAAACAATTCTTACTTCAAGAAAATATTTGTTGAAATGAGAAACTAATTTTCTTAATTAGAAAACGGATTTTCAAAATGAGAAGTACTTGATTT